GTCATCCTTGGCTACCTTTTGTAGGGCTTCCCCAAGATTCGTGAACGGATGATCGATTGCCCATGATTTATCTGCCGTAGTTTGTTGATTATCCTCAGAAACCTTTTCGGAGCAGCCACCCTTATCCTCGAAGTCTGCCGCAGATGAATTGCCGGAGCAAGTGGTAAAAAGTTTGGCGGTGATAGAGAGGAGTTCAGGCGCTTCTTGGGTAGCTTGCTCACGTGGGCCAATGATTTCTTTTGGCCCAATTATCAAATTGTCATCAGTTAATTTCTCTGGGCTCTTTATTTGGGCTGGCCAAACAAGTTACTCATCACTAGACATGGGTTTGCGAGATAATGCATCTGCCGCCTGGTTTTCTCGGCCTGGCTTGTACATAATTTCATAATCGTAGCCCAATAGCTTGCTAACCCATTTTTGTTGTTCCGGCGTCGTGATTCGTTGCTCTAACAGAAAACGCAAGCTCCGCTGGTCGGTTCGAATGAAGAATTTGCGCCCGAGGAGGTATGGTCGCCATAGTTGAACTGCTGCCACTACCGCCATCATTTCTTTTGCATAAGCTGATAATCCCAGCTTTTGAGGGCTCAAAGCTCGACTCATGAATGCAATGGGTCGTTCCTCTTGCATTAGGACGGCCCCAAGTCCTTGCCTGGAAGCGTCAGTCTCGACGATGAAAGGTTTGGTAAAATCCGGCATGGCTAACATTGGATTTGTCGCATAGCCTTCTTGAGAGCCTCGAAGGCTTGGGTTGCTTCTGGCGTCCATACGAACTGCCCCTTTCTGAGAAGTTGGGTGAGCGGACGAGCTATGAGGCCGTAATTGTGAACGAACTTCCGGTAGTAACCGGTAAGCCCAAGAAAGCCCCGGAGCTCAGTTATATTAGTGGGACAAGGCCATTGCACCGTGGCCTGTATTTTGGTCGGATCGACCTTGACTCCTTTTGTGGTAATGATGTGACCAAGATATTCGAGCTCATGGAGGCAAATAGCACATTTGGAGAACTTCACATAGGGTTGGTGTAAACGAACTATGTTAAATACCTGGCGAAGATGATCCAAATGGGAGGCTCTATCCTTGCTGTAGACGAGGATGTCGTCGAAGAATACCACGACGAATTTGCGTAGATGAGCTCTAAAGATGTCATTCATTAAAGCTTGGAAAGTGGATGGGGCATTGCATAGCCCAAATGGCATTACGAGGTACTCGTAATGGCCATTATGGGTTCGAAATGCGGTTTTGGACACATCCTCCCAATGCATCCTAACCTGATGATAGCCGGCTCGCAAGTCAAGTTTGGTAAAGTATGTAGCCCCGTATAACTCGTCCAGCATGTCATCGACAATAGGGATGGGAAATCGGTCTTTGACCGTGACTGCATTCAAAGCTCGATAATCTGTGCAGAACCTCCACGTCCCATCTTTTTTCTTGACTAACAAGACTGGTGACGAAAATGGGCTTGTACTTGGTCGAATGAGTCCTTCCAGCAGCATTTTGTTAACTTGAGTCTTGATTTCTTCCTTTTTATAGTGTGCATAACGATATGGACGAACGTTGACTGCCTCGGCACCGTCTTTGAGCTGGATGCGATGGGTAATGGACCTTGGCGGTGGCAGGGACATTGGCTCCGTAAACAGGTCTCCGAACTCGTGGATCATGTCCTGAAATTCCCTTGGAATTTGGTGGAGTAGTCTCTCATTAGTGGCGGGTACGCAGAGTGCGTACAGGACTCCTTGCCGTAGATCTTTGAAAATGCTCTCCACCGATTTAGCTACACCGACCCGGGTAGTTAGACATGTGAGCTTCCTCCGTTGACCCAGCCAATTGAACTCCATAGTTAATTCCTTCCAGTTGCATGTAATATCCCCTAGTGAGGCTAACCATTGAGTTCCCAGCACTATATCAACTCCCACGAGATTGATGGCATAGAGGACAAGTGAAAATTCTATTCCTTGCATGGATAGGGTCACATTGTCGTGTCTTGAGTTGCATGGCAATGGCTTTCCACTTGCAATTTTGACGTCAAATTTTTTGACTTGAGTCACCGGTAATTGGCAACGGCCAGCGACGCTAGAAGCAACAAAATTATGGCTCGACCCACTGTCAACCAACACCATGAGCTGGGTCGAGCCTATTTTGGCCCAAAGACGCATCGTACGGCCCGCGCTTACCCCATTCAACGCATGTATGGAGATCTCTGGCTCCTCCTGCTCGTAATCCTCCTCGTTGGCTCCATCGCAGAGGAGCAACGCCGGACATTTACATAGATGACCCGGAACAAACTTCTCGTCGCAATTAAACCAGAGGCCGGCTGCCCAGCGTCGCATCTGTTCCTCCCAAGGGATTCGCCGTGCTGGTTGTGTATGAATACGCGCGGGCTGGTCCTCGGAAAGACGAACACCGTCGTTCCCGGTTTGTGGTGTTGCTTTCATTGGAAGCTTTGCACGTCGTAGCTGATCATCACGAATGCGAGCTATACGAATTGCCTCCTTAAGAGAATCCGGGCGGAAAAGACGGAGTGTTTCTGATATTTCCGGCCGTAGTCCTCCCATGAACGCACCGATAAGTGCCTTTTGTGTCCATCCGTGCACCTTATTTCCTAAACGCTCGAATTCTCGTTGGTAATCGCGTAGGTTTCCAGTTTGGCGGATTCATGAGAGGGCTTCATCGGCATCATCTTCATCGGCCGGCCCAAAGCGGGTCCATATTTCAGTGGAAAATTATTCCCAAGTGACCTGGATGCCGTCTTGAATATATGATTTCTGCAACCAACGCCACCACTGATTAGCCTCCCCTTCCAAGTGATAAGAGGCGAGTGGAACCTTTTGGTCTTCGTCCACGTTTTGATATTCAAAAAATTGGTCCACCCTAGTGAACCACTCGGTCGGGTCGTTCCCTTCAAATCGGGGAAACTCTAACTTAATGTATCGGGACGGAAACATCGGTCGTCGAGGATCCTCGCGACGGTCGTACCGCCCATGACGGTGTTGATCTTCTCCACGTTCGTAGTACTCGTGGACTCTCCGTCGATCCTCACGTGCATTACGTGGACCTTCTCGTCGGCCTTCACGTCGATCGTCTCATTCTTCCTCCGTGCGATCTTCGAGTCCATCGGTTCGACGGGACTGGAGGCTCGACCCCGCCGAGGAGCGGTCAGCTTCGGAGACGGGAAGGCCGCGCTACTGGAGTAGACGAAGGATCTCGTCTAAGCTGGTCTGGGTGGCGGCCGAGTCACCCTCGAGGGCATGCAAACGTCCTCCTAAATCAGCGACAGAACCCCCCAGCACAGCGACTGAGTTTTCAACCCGGCGGACGTCGTCGAGAATGGAAGTTTGGATTGCTACCTGAAGAGCCTCCAGGTTAGCCTCCAAAGATTCCATCCTCTCCTTGTCGGCAGCGGTCTTGCCAGCCATGGATTCGTGCTCTAATACCAAATGTTGAAACTTGGTGATCAGGGGAGTGATTGCGTTCTCTTTATGGCAAGAACTAGCCAGCTTTGGGACTCTATTTTCTGGGTAAAATAATATGCTGCTCTTTATTCCATTCAATCCTCTTATATAGAGGGGAAAACCTAGCGATCGGGTTCACAAACTGACACCCTGATCTCCTACGATTTGGAGAATCCTATTGATCTCCCTACACCTACGAAATCAAATCCTAACAACTACTGAAACAATCCGAGTAACAACTGAAACCAATCAAACGAAATCAAATCCTACAGCTACGTGAGCAGCAACTAATCTTCATTGGTTGGGTCTTCTTTTCAGCCATGAGACGGCCCATCATGTCGAGCACGTTTGATCCTTACTTCTGTATGATTCGCAGGCCCATCACTCTCTCTCTCTCTCTCTCTCTCTCTCTCTCTCAGTTTTCTAGCGGTCGTCGACTTGTCGTCTCTCTACGGGAATAAGGACGAAAGAGAAGAACAACTGAGGAGAAGTTGAAGAGAAGGGAAGGGTTAGAGGGGATTAGGGCCGTTGGACGCTGCGTTTCCCCCTCCGCATAGATCTAATGGGTTTTTCGGCGGGGTGGCTCAAACGGAAGAAGATGGTGAACTAGCGATGACCGCGTCAGCGAGGCGGTGGCAATTACGGCATCGGCATCAATGAGGGAACATGGATGAATCTAGGGTTAGTGAGGAACGAATATGGAGAGAATAAAGGTAGGAAGGGTCGCAGTTGGAGAACAAGTTGGGGAGTGCGGAGATAATCAGCATATCTGCTATAATCGGCTAATCTCCGGTTATTAACCGGGTTCAAGCCACTATACTGACCCCAAAAAAAAATCTGCTGCATACCGATACCACTGGTTATTCCGATAAGCGGAAAACCTTGTATCACCCTTATACCTGTTTGGTGATGACAACATATCAGAAATCCCAACACAATGCAGCTTATTAAAAGCACCATCGCTTGGCAAAGATTTATGGGAGAAACTATGGCTTTGACGATATTTGTTGGCGACTGGGAGAATAGAAGCAAGAGGGGAGCCTACAACAATAAAGAAGTTTCTACAATAAAATATCTAAGTTATAATTTGTTAAAATAAGAGAAATTATTATAGCGGCATGGATAAAGAGAAATCAAAGAGGAAGTAATGAAGATATATGACACAAAATATATAACGGCCTATGTGGCAGGATGTTAAATTTTGATTTGCATTTTATAGAGTCTGCACTTTTTCGATTTGGCACTTGACACTTGATAGTAATTTTTTTTTACTAATAATGCTTGTTCTTAGTTTACATTTATTTTATTTTTTAAACAAGGCACACCTAAAAAAGTTAAAACATGTAAGTATGCAAGGTGTATATGAAACTAGATGATTTTATACTTAATTAATTGATCGGTATATGTTAAAATTAATTAATTAAAAAGTATATGTTATTATAACATTATATAAATTTTTCCAACATTATTTGTTGCAATGTTGCTCAAACTATACAGATACGCAACATAATATAATTGTTGATATAAATGTGGTGTAAGCCCAATCAAATGCAACTTAAATCAAGTGAGTTATTTATTTTGCATAATGTATATTTTTAGTAATATTTTCAAAAACTGTTGTCATTTAATTTTAAACTACACTTGCACACATACTGTTGGAAAAATATCCCTTGTTCCGTATTTCGTGGTCGATCGGTATGGAACGAGTACATAGCAGTGGCGAATAGAGTGCACCTGAAGGGTAAGGTGAGGCACAGGCTCGTAGCGGAGGAGCTTACGAGATGATTAAAGAGGCGGATGCCGACAACGACGGCCGGATAAAATCCGAAAATGCGAAATAGTGGAAGACTTTATTAAACTAGTTTTCGTTGATGTGATATGCTATCAATTCATGTTGAGTCATTAATGGTTGATTGGGTTGACTATTAGTATTGACTGTCAGCTCTAAGATTAGACCATATTTGTCAGGTATTCATGAAGATCAACTAGTTTTGTCTTTGTAGAAAGTTTGGACTAAAATTGTTAATTTACATAGAGTGTAGGAGATATCGAGCTATTTATCTAAATTATTATTATGCTTATAGTTCTTAAAAAATATTTATTTCAGGTTTAAATTTTTTTTCTTTCTTTTTGGTACATTAAGTGTAAGCAAACATGCACTATAGATGATGAGTCGATGTAGTTCTCCATGTTTGGGATACATGTAACTAAATGAGAAATTTTACAATGCTATATAGTATTGGTGCTATAGGGTTTTGCCTTTATGGTACTGATGGACGATCGTTTCGTCCATCGCGTAATTGTACGAACTAAAACTAAAATAAACTGAAATACTGATTTATTCTTCTTTGACTGCTTAAAACATAGAAACAAAGTACATATTTATAGTTGAACCGGAAAACCTAATCACTTACCAATCCTACAAGGATACGGTAACTTAATCCTAAAGAAACTACCTTAAATAATTTAATAATTAATACGATTTCTAAACAATAACTAAAACCGACTCATAAACTTATAATAATAATAATGATAATTGGCCGTCAAGAATGATAATGCGTCAATCCTCCCCCCTTCGAAGAACTTCGTCCCCGAAGTTCAAGCGTTATCTCAACCAGGATCGACGAAAAAGTTGTTGACGATAGCGAATAAAACGGATGTTCGTTGATGCCGCCCTCGTTTACGGAACTTCCAATTACGCTCGGGTACCCGAACCAACCCTTTATCACTGGACTCTCCAAACGCCGTTGAGCCCTTCTTAGCGCACCACTCGAACTTTCCTTTGCTTGAGGTGACCGTCCTCCCACACAGTGGCCAAATATTGCCCGACTCCCCACTTCCTTTCTTCAAAAACAACTTCCCATGCATGGAATAAAGTTCTCCATACATGCCTCCATCCATGCTAAGTACGTAAGTATAAGAAATGGGCGTACCAATGCAAAATTGGCTCTCATGCCATTTCCCCCATATACGACCCAATCCATCCCAAATAGCAACGCACTTTAGCTCCCTCCTTTCAGAAGCAGCTCGAGCTAGGAGTTTGTCCAAAACCCCCGATCCCTCTCGGCTCCCTTCCTCTATCAATCGCCTGAGTTTCCTAGCTCCCGCCGTCTCATGAACTTGAACCGCGCCGGCTCCGAAACTCTCAGCAGCACCACTACTATTTTCCTCCGTCCCCGTTGGCCCACTCGACCGAAGCCCTTCCACCCCGCGACCCACGCTCGAGCCCACTCCATATATGAGCCCATGCGTGAGTCCTCCTATACGTACCCCGAGTCCGTTTCGATGTGCGGCATGTCTGGCCTGTTGATCGCGGCCCAACCCTCCATTGAATCGGAACCCGAACTCAGGACGCAAGGGAGCTGATTCCCCCATGTTGAACACTAGCGGCAGCAAACGATTATGGCGAATCTACAATTAGCTTCTTCATTGGTGGCGCCTCGGTAGGCGATCCGTCCACCTTGTCGTTGTGGAGCATGGTTGCACGCAGGACCTCTTCCCGACATTGGTGGCTGAACGTCGACGATGTCTTCCTTGGGAGCCGGTAAGAGCTCGGTTCTGTCAAACCAGGCTCTGATACCAATTGATGGACGATAACTTAATAATAACAATAATGATAATTGGCAGTCAAGAGTGATAATGCGTCAGGTACAACTTCAAATTGTACATTTACGTTATGGTACAACTACAAGGATACGATAACTTAATCCTAAAGAAACTACCTTAAATACTTTAATAATTAATACAATTCCTAAACAATAACTAAAACCGACTCATAAACTAATAATAACAATAATGATAATTGGCCGTCAAGAGTGATAATGCGTCAGGTACAACTTAAAATTGTACATTTACGTTATGATACAACTTCAAATTGTACATATACTTTTTGTACAAATTCTTTTATGGTACAACTTGAACTTGTACCTTTATGTGATGGTACAACTTCAAGTTGTAAAGTTATACCATAACATAATGATACAAATTGCTTTATGCTACAACCTAAACTTATAAATTTAATGTTATGGTACAACTTTAAGGTGTACATTAAAGCACCAATACTATATAGCATAGTAGAAGTGCTCGTAACTAAATAAGGGTTAAAATAAATAGAAAATATTGAACATGGTGAGCAAGTAATCAAAAAAAGTAAGCGATTCTTCTCCTGGTCTCCGGACAAGCTTCTCGTTCTTCTCCGTTCAAATGCACTAGTTTTTTTGCCCGCACTTCGTTGCGTTAAGAAACTAATAATTTAGGTGAAATTAAAGAATTTACAAAATTATATGAGTAAAGTAATTCCACAATTTTACATAGTGTCTTATTATTGTGAATATTCGGTGTTTAATCACTATGGAAGACCTACATAATATATTTGTTTAATTGATACATAAAAATCATTATTTTTCCATAAAATTATGTAAAGTATTAATCATTATAGAAGACTCGTGTAATAATTTTTTTTACTGATACATAACAAATCATATCCCTCTGTGAATTTTACGTAATGGATTGGTAATTTACATAACTGTTATAGAATGTTGTTACATAAATCTTTCATAACGTGTGGTCTAATAATAAAATCTAAGTTATAGAACGTAACATTTGATTAAATTGTTATGTCAAAGTTAACTAACCTTGTGCAACCTTTGCAAACTTGATTACTTTGTGAATATTTATATTTTAGTAAATAATGATTAACTTTTAGGTAATAATGAAGGAATTACGTGACAAAAATATCGCATTTGATTATATTGATGTGTAAAATAGCTTAACTTACAAATCCTTTGTGTAGTGCAAATTGATGAGATGATCAATGGTTTAGTTAATAAATAAAAAAAAATTCTCTTTCAAACTTATATTCCGGGTACATAATATGTTTGTTTAATGGATACATTTAAAAATTATTATCTTTCCATAAGTTTTACATAGTATTTTAATTATTACGAAAGACTTATATAATATCTTTGCTTAGTTGATACATAATAAATCACTATTCCTCTATGAATTTTACTAATATATTTGTAATTTATGTAACTGTTATAGAATGTTGTTATATAAATCTTTCATAAAGTGTGGTCTAAGAACAATACCCCTTGGCAAAAAATTTTATACAAAACCTTTATATAAGGCAAATAAAAATGAGCTTATGATGAGAAACTAATTATATATAAAATGTGAACTATTCATTTATGTTTTAGTTAAAATAAAATAATTCGAAAATTGTAAAATACTTCTATAAGTTTACCTAGAATTATTTAACTAAATCATGAAATGAATAGTATGTAAAAGTTAATGGATCTTATATATATAGAACCTTTTTGTAATACAAATTGATGAGATGCTTAATATTTTAGCTCTTGTTAACGAAATTGAATTATAAAAAATGTCACATTTGATTAAACTGTTACCTAAGAAATAATCGACCTTACAAAACTTTTGCGTAATGTATTAGAACACACATTGACTTTTGTGTAATGATTATGATAAAAATTTATTTTTTATGTATCAATTAAACAAACACATTATGTAAGTCTCCCTTAATATGAGTTTGAACAAAATTATTTTATTATTAGCTAAATTTTCGATCATCTCATCAATTTGTATTGCATCTCATAAATAATTTTTTATCATAAATATATTAAAAAGTGTTTTGTGGCTCTCTTCCGATGAAAATGGGTTAGGAACTACTTTTTCGTATTGAACAGTGTTTTAAGGTTTGGTTTACTTGCGCTATTAATTAAATAATAATTTTCCATGTGTATGTTAAAAATAGTGCAGTCAACCACTATCGTTCCGGAAATTGTTAAGTCTCGTCACACCACAAAATAACCTTGACTAATTCATTTGAATATACCAGCCTAAAAATAAGAATAAAAAATAGAAAACACAGGACAAATTGAACTGAAATAAAAAAACCCAGAAATCGATCATATCATTTTTGAAGAAAATTGTATGAAAACATGAAAGAAGGTGATATTTCACAAAGCAAAGCCGAAGACATTCTAACCGACAAACCAATCAACCCCTTTCAACACCTCAACATAATCCTTAATCCTGATGGGTCAGTCTGTCGCCTTCTAACCAGCATTCCCGTCGTTCCCAACTCCGACCCCTCCTCCGGCGACCCTGTCCTTTCCAAAGACTCCATCATCAACCCCACCACCAACACCTTCGTCCGCGTATACCTTCCCCTCAAATCCACCACTGCAGAGCCTCCACGACGACTCCCGATTGTGTTCTATTTCTACGGTTGCTCTTGGGTGCAGTTTTCTGCGGACAATCCTCCCCTCCACTTGGAGCGCCAACGGACAGCAATCGCGATATCATCCATCATAATCCTCGTCAATTACCGCCTTTCACCGGAGGTTCGCCTCCCTGGACAGTATGACGATGCAATGGACGCCCTCCTCTGGGTGAAGAAACAGGCAGAAGATGACCAAAATGGCGACCCCTGGCTCCGCGAGCATGGTGACTTCTCCCGATGCTTTCTCAGCGGGTCCGGGAACGGCGGGAACATTGCTTTCCACTGCGCGGTTGGCACCGTGGACGTGGACCTGGGTCCCCTCCGGATTGCAGGGGTGATCATGAACCAGCCGTTGTTTGGAGGGCAGATGAGGACGAGGTCAGAACTTCAGTTCGCCCGCGACCCAATTGTGCCACTCCCGGTGTTGGATCTCGTTTGGAAGTTGGCGCTACCGGAGGGCGTGGACCGCGACCACTATTACTGCAACCCAATGTCTGCTGGGCCCCACCTCGCCAAGATTCCGTTCCTCCCTCGCTGCCTTGTCAACGGCTTTGGGATGGACCCCACCGTGGATAGACAGAGGGACTTCGTTCAAATGTTAATTTCGATGGGGGTCAATGTTGAAGCTCACTTTGAGGATGTTGGATTCCATAGGATTGAAATTGTGGACCCCAGGCGCCATGATGCCCTCATCACTCTGTATAAAGAGTTCATCTCTGTTCCCAATTTGGGATACAATATTGAAAACTAACTAACTATTCACATCTAAAATCATTTTCAACCTATAACTGATTGGTTCGTATAATTTCATTTATCAAATCATCTCAATCATTTTCATACCTTCATTTACATAAGTAGAGTGTTATCAGGAAAAAATCCCAAGTTACACATGTTTTTAAAAAAAATTCTCAAAATACACATGTTATGAAAATAATTCCCAATCTACACATGTTTGGGCCTTCACCGCGTCAGAGAAGGGCGGTGATTGCTTCACCGCGTGAGAGCAAAACGGTGATTGCTTCACCGTGGGAGAGCAAAACGGTGATTGCTTCACCGCGGGAGAGCAAAACGGTGAAGCACTGACCTGCGTCCAAACTTTAAAACAACGTAACTTTGTGCTCGGTTATCCGATCGTAGCGAATTTTTTTTTGATTCCGCATAATTTTTCGAGATCTTGCAAGCCGCAAACCGCCGAAGACGGTTTAGTCCCGCCTTCGTCTCGAAAAAATGTCGTTTGCTACCCCGAACGAGCCTTTTTTCGATTTCGTCAAACTTTGAACGACCATAACTTTGTGCTCCACAATCCAAAAATCATGAATTTTTTTTTGATTTCGCATAACTTTTTAAGGACTACAATTTTTATTATAGACATAATTTCGGAATGTACTTGGATTCCTGAAAAGGGAAGGTAAAGTTATTCCCAAAACCCCTTATATCCATAAATAATTCATTTTTTGAAAATTCTCTCCTACTAAAAATTGTAGTCCTTAAAAAGTTATGCGGAATCAAAAAAAAATTCATGATTTTTGGATTGTGGAGCACAAAGTTATGGTCGTTCAAAGTTTGACGAAATCGAAAAAAGGCTCGTTCGGGGTAGCAAACGACATTTTTTCGAGACGAAGGCGGGACCAAACCGCCTCCGGCGGTTTGCGGCTTGCAAGATCTCGAAAAATTATGCGGAATCAAAAAAAAAATTCGCTACGATCGGATAACCGAGCACAAAGTTACGTTGTTTTAAAGTTTGGACGCAGGTCAGTGCTTCACCGTTTTTCTCTCACGCGGTGAAGCAATCACCGTTTTAGTTTGAAACGGTGAATACATCACCGTTTTAGTCAAAAACGGTGAATACATCACCGTTTTAGTCAAAAGCGGTGATGACCTTCACCGCTTTTGTCTAAAACGGTGATTCTCAAACATGTGTACTTTTGGAATTTTTTTTATAACTTATGTATATTGGGAATTTTTTTTAAGAACTAGTGTACTTTGGGATTTTTTCCAGTGTTATCATCAGTTGATGAAATATGCATGTAGACTTAATCACAAGTTTCTTATAGGTTATTGAAAAGTACTTAATCAAGAAGCAATCGTATTCTTAAACTCAGCCCTAGTGACCAAACCAAAATGGAAATTCCCTGAAGAATACTGTGGCGTGTTCTAAATGAGTTATTTTAATAATGAATATCATCTTTAGTGAAGATTAGAGCTTTGAGTGGCCCATTTCAGAAGTTTAAGGTGATTTTTTGGTTGTATGGATAATAGGGGTAGCTCATTTGGTGGTAAGAAAAGAAGTTTTGTTGTTTCCTTCGTTAGTACATAGTAGGGTAATGAATCTTTTTTCGTTTTTCTAGAAATGAACCCTCAAAATTGATCATTCCATAAATCCACCATTCAGTCTTCTGTCTTGAAAACCATTCAACTTTCATAGATCTCTCTAGCCACCAAAAGCTCTTTTTCTCCATGGATTCTCTAGTTTAGAAGATGATGGGAGGCAATGGGAAGCTTACGGTAGTAAGCATGAGCTCGACCGAACAGAGATGTTCATGATGTACGACATCTAAATGCAACAACAACAAGCAACTACATCTTGTTGTAGTTCATCCTCATGAAAATCAGTGAGGTGTAACAAGAAAGACGGTCACAAGTGCTTGATGTAAGATTACTTCAATTTGGATCCAACTTATGATGCTAGGGCATTTACAAAGTGATATCGGATGACCCCTGCCTTAGGATATTTTGCTCTGTCATGACTAACATTTACAATCATCATTACTTATATGCACCAAGAATGGAAGATCTTCGAAGCCTTCTTGATAATGCACGGGGAGTAGAAGAACTGGCCAACTGCATGGGTAGGCCAATACACTGGACACAAGAAGAAACAAACCATCATCCTCAAAACTGTAGCATTGTACGACACATTGATTTGGCATGCCTTTTTTTGACACTTGAATCAAACAATAACATCAATTCTCTCGTAGTATCCCCACTTTTAGATCAAGAATTCGAAGGAATTATTCCTACGGTCATGTATGAGGTAATTGATAAGACATATAGCAATCCAAATAGTTAGAAAAAGAGGGTGCTTGCAAACTTCTAAGAGGCTTACCACAAGGGTACTGAGAGTAGAGATGGGTTTGTGGTGAATGTTGAATAGAGACTAATCCAAATGTCACACATTCCAACTCTAATGGAGTACATGGCAAGGCATAATAGGATTCGTGATCGTCCAGTACATCACGAATAGAGAAATGATTTTGTTGAGCATTTTTGAATAAGACATGGAGGAGAGTAGTAATGTTTTATTCCATTTGATTTATTGGTGTATTTGCTTTGATGTATTACTCTATTCTCTATGTTTTTTATGGGTATTTCCTATGCTTACCATTATCTTGTTATATTGTTTTAGTAAAGAAAGTACTTGCATTACTAAATGACACAATATAATTGAAAGAACGCATACATTAACCATAGATCAAACTAGTTAAAGCAATACATTTCTCATAAATAAACCATTTAAAACAATAAACGTAAAAGATTACATATCGGGTGCATAAGCTTGCATGCATTTTTGAATTTTCCACTAAACCTTCCATATCCTTGTCCCAAGTTTTGTGGAATAATGTGGAGTTCCTCTTTTCTTCTTCTTTTGCTTATTCCGACCTTTGGGACGGTTGATATCAAAAGGAGATGCATTTGCTTGAATGTCAAGCCACTTTCGTCGGATGGCATGCGTGACGAAGATCAATCCAGTGGAGGAATGGGTGCCACGGGTGTATAAAATTGTTGCATATATTTAGGACAATTTGGAAGTATATTCCAACAAGGCATCAATTTGAATTGTTTTCTGGTGTCCGCAACAACAACAAAATTGCCCGTGCAACCTAGAAAATTAATTTGATTGTATAATAATTAGAAACCACGTACATAATAGAAATATTAAGAACACCATAATAAATATTAGAATTACTAACCACATCACTTAGGTTCTCTCCGCTCATTAGTGTAGCGCCTGCCCTCGTCGACGCTGCATTCCATACACCACTTTGATGGTTGATGGTCTTCTATCGAACCCCCAAGCTTATGTTGGTACGTGAAATCCCCCATCCTTTAGTAGAAATCACAACTCCAACTCGCCTCCAAAACTCAGTCGTAGATTGATAGTGACTAACGAAGCCATCCTCTAAAATTTGAATCCAAGCGTTGCATAACACTATATCTTCATCATCCTTCTAATTTGGATGGCGAATAGTTTGAGACATAATCAAGATTTTAAGAAGAAGACGGGGCTTCTGGCGCTCCGTATGGCCCTCTCCAGCACGCGAACCCCTTGCTGTCCACTCTACCCGGCGGCTAGTGAGTTGGGTTGGGTCGATGCCCGGTTTGACCCACCTCGGGCCGACTCGAATTGGTCCACCCATGCCCTAGTCGTCCCACTCCGACTCGACTGGGTTTGGTCCGCCGGCCTTCGGTTCGACCCGGTTCGGTCCGCCCGCCTATAGGTTGACCCGATTTGGTACGCCCGGTACCGGTCAGCCCCACAAGAGCCGACCCCATCCGACCAGTTGGGTCAGCCGCCCGGCCCGGTCTGCCACTCCTCTGGTCAATGACTGGGTCTGCCCGTCGGTCCACCAAGCTGACCCCGTCATCTTCGACCTCGTCATCGAGGCCCAGCAATCTAAGCACATTGTCATCCCTCGCAAATCGCCCACCCAGCTCCGGCCCATCAGTCATCAAAGGCTCGTCTGTGTCGTAGCGAGGCATCTTGGCCTTACCCTTGCGGGCCGCCAATTCTTGGGCTATGGGAGTGGGTAACCGGCCCGCTTCCCCACTGGGCCCAAACGAGCCGAACCTTGGCCGAGTCACCTCGATCGCTGCCGCGGAGCCTCCCCCCCCCCCCCCCCCCCCCCCCCCGCCAACGTGGAGCCCGCGGCCAGCGCAGCCCCTACGCCTCCGCCGTCCGCCGCCATGGTCTCCGCCGGCGCCCTGCGGCTCCGCCTTATCGGCGGTTTCCCTGTCGCTGCATCACAAACTCCCTTAGCTCGACAATCGCCATCCAAACCTCTTGCGAGTCTGCCTGACGAGCTTCCTGATTCCGAATAGCCAGCCAAATCTCCTAAGTGTCTGCCTGACGAGCTTCCTAATCCCGCGCCATCGCCTTCTGCGAGACCAACACCTTTTTCAAGATGGTGCGAAGGTCCTCTTCCTCTGTCAGGTCCTCCACGACGCCTTCTTGGCGTCCTCTGTCGGCCGCCGATGGTGGTGGCCATGGTTGCGTGGCCTTGGGTGGTGCGGTGGCGGCCTGGATCGATTTTGGCGGCACCGCGGCTGAGGTCACAACCTCGTCTCCGTCACCAGCTTGGCTTGCAGCTCCTTCCGCGATCGCCTTCTCCTGCGCGGCTCGTGCAGCCTTTTCCGCCGTCGTCATTGACTTTGTCTAGGCCATATGTTCTTCCTTGCTTGATCAAGAGCCATGCTCTGATACCATATGATAGAGCCCGGTAGATTGGGTTCTATCTAGGGATTGCAAGTGGGAAAGATCAACTAGGGATTGATCCTTGGGGTCAAAGAAAAGAGGAAGGGAAGAGGAAGTTGTTTGGGGTGAGAAGAAGAATGGAGAGGGGAGCGCGGCAGTGGTCTGCCGAGGAAGAGGGAAAAGAGAGAGGGAGAGTCGACTGAATTTGGAGGGGAGAGAGAGAGAGAGTAGGAAATTAGGATTTCGGTTTTAATCTTTGCTTAATCCCTTAATTCCACGTACAAGTAGTTTATATAAAAAATGGCTAATTCCCTACTGCTACCCGATTATTTCTCCAATTCCCGAATAGTCCAAATAATCCGAATAATAATAAAACGACAATAATTCAAAGTACTAGAATGCAAGTTCTCATCACTTGGCTCAAGTGTCAACATACTACCACAACATCTATATGAATGG